GCTCAGGCTCTAACACTATTCATTATTGTTTATATTGAACCCCTTAAGGGCCCTGCAGTGCAAGGCTTATTCTGTTTACATTTGTCAAACTTGTTTTCCCTTAATGGTTCTTTTTAAGTTTTTTTCTGTCCCCCTCCTCGCTTATTTTCAGAGCGTTGGCTCGCTATCTAGCACTGTACCCTAACGTCTCAAGCATCGTGTTGGCCTCTGTGGCTCTGATCTTTTACGGTAGACTAAATAAAAGGTTTTAGGTGGGTGAGGGTTTACCAAGTTGGAGTAAAATGTTGAAAACCGCAGACATTCGTGAAGCTGCTGGCAAGTCGAAAATAAAATATCACACAAATTTCCTTCTTACCAATCTGAAAATGCCATTGGGCATGAATTAATATACTTTAAAACATGTCCTTGGTCATTCTTGCTCATTTATGTATGTTTTGTTGAACCTCTCTCGCACTGTACGTAGCCAACCCTGCTAATTGGAGGTGCAGAGGAAGAACAACAACCCAAACACAAAAAGCAATAAGTTTTCATTTTAGACTTAAAAGTGCATCATAGCTCCAGTGGCTTCCTATTATAGGAAGGAAGAGCGTTCCAGACATCCACGGAAGCAGCATCTGAAAGCGCGCGATGCAGTGGCCGTCTTTGTTCGCTGGCCAGCCAAAATCCGCTGCTGCGAGGATGACCACCGGAGTTCACGTGATGGTTTATGCTCCTTGACGAGATAAGCGAGGTAGCGTGGTTCATTTGTGACAAGCGCTTTGCGTGTAGTAACAAGCGCGACCTTATAGTTTGTATTCGTTCGGCAAACCGAATGTAACGACTGAGTGCGGGTTGAACCCATATTAAGCGGCGCGTGTCTTTTTTGTTGTTTGCAGATACTACTTCAAGAAGGCGAGCGAGGACTTCGACTGTGGCGTTGTCTACGAAGAGGTGCAAGATGACGACGCGATTCTTCCGATATACGAGGAGAAGATCAACGGGAAGGTGGAGCGAATCGAATAGCGATTGGTGACCGCCGTGGACCTCGTACGTCCGCAATCGCGGAGGATGCGCAGAGCAGCAAAGCAGTATTGAACTTGAACCCGTCATCACCTTGGGCACTGGCGAGGCTGGAAGAAACGATTCACCTTCATGAACTATTAAGATATTCTCTTGTTGCTGTTGTTATTTTGTACGGCATCTTCTTGTTTTGGATTATCCACTGGCCTGATGTAGCATGTTTTGGGGGAAATAAGGGAACCAATAAGAGACACTATTTGTTTACTAAATTGTGTATTTTGTATTTAAAAGATTATATATTGTATAAAAAAAAAATCGCAGATTTACAGCAGTGCCGGTGGTTCCGGAGTTATTTTGATTAAAAAAATATACCGTGGAGCCTCTACTGCATGAATTTTGATAATTTAGAACGGTTTATTTTTCTACTCATGCGTAGACTTCACTTTATATATCGGTACTGTATTCTATGCTGTATTCTTTATATCCAGTACGTTTCAAAACTCATTGTACCTCAAACCTCAGTATTTTGTGTGCATGCATTCACAGTAAAACTTACTGCTGACTTTAAAATATTTTTTACCAAGAAGGTATTTATATTTATTGTGTATGTACATACAGATGGTACCCTTATGGAGTTGTGTCTAAAGGACCTGCAGATTTTTCCGTTGTGTCTCATGCTGTGATTCAGTGGGTCACTTGAATTCAACATCGGAGTACTTTTTCACATGGTGGTAGGTCAATACCATGCTCTTGTTTTTCCCTTGTTTAATCGAGGGGTTGTAATATATACTGTAGGTTCAACAATGCCACTGCATGTCCTGGCATGATCTGTACTACATTATTGGGTGCAGATGCTCTTTTGTAGCCTTCACTGTACATAATAGATCATTTTAAAGAAGATATTGTATAAACACTTGTCGGTTGAATGTAGCATATCAGAATATTAAAGTATTTTCCAAAGATAATCTTTCGTTTCATTCTTTGTAAAAAAAAAGGGGACAGTTTAATTCAACTGGCTCGGCACTTGACCGTCGCTCTGCTTGCGCGAAGAACGAAACATGCCCTCTCGTGGCCCGCTTGCGATGCTGACATCTCGTGCGAGTGGAATGTGAGACCCAATACATTATTCCTAAACATTAACATTTAATGGACAAATATTATATACACATTTTCATTAAAGAAAATCACGAAATACAAAAAATGTGCAAACACAAAGCCCAAATACACATTGGGAAATGCATAAAGTGACAAAATGTTTTGTATGATATGAGAATTATAACTTTTGCGGTGATTTAAATTGACTCATCAGTGGTGGAGCCTGGACTTTAAACTAAACTATTAAGATTCTTCATTTTACCAGGTAAGGCCCACTGAGCTATGTAGCTCTTTTTTAGAAGTCACCTGGCCACAAATGATTGCTCAACGAAGTGGCTTATCACGTGGAAATGTATAGCAGCCAAATACTGGAAACGCGTGATGTTGATTCTAAATATGGAGGGAAAACTTGGGGGACCCAGAGAAAAATCCACGCGACCACGGGAAGAGATGCAAACTCCAAATATATCCAGCAGGCGTCAGGGTTGGGATTGAACCCCTGGCCACCTTTATACCAGGCGAGGTAGTAAACATTTCACCACATGCAAAACTGAGGATGCGGGCCTTATCCTTGGAGTGGGCCCGGTGGTTGTGATCCACAATGGATTCGGAGATTCCTCTGTCCAGACCACTGGGGACTTCACCAAGAAGACAGACGCATCTAAGTTCAGCACTGAGACCAGAGATGCATCCACCGAGACCAGAGGATGCCGGCCTTATCCTTGGAGTGGGCAAAACAACAACCTGCAGCTTCCATTCCTCCCTTAGAACAACCGCCATCTCTTCTCCCCGAGCCCATCATCATCCTGCTGCTACTCTCCCTGGAGTCGCTATCATCCCATTAGCCTTGGGAATTCAGGAATTCAATCATTGCCGACTGTGAAAAACAAAAACATCCCTGTCGGAGTTCACGCTCCTTTACAGATGTAGCTCCAATAGATATTGGGCAGAGGAGTGTGAGATGGAGTCTGTGTGGATCACAGTGGACGTGGCCCGGGACTGAACGTGTTCGCTTCGTCAACATATATTTGTCCCCCCGCCCCCCCCTTCTTATTCCATCCTTGTTGTGTTCGTGAAAGAGCGTCGCTAGTTTTAGCCGCTTGTTTTTTACGTTCTTTCACCGGTCCCCTATCCCCATACCGTATCAACCCACACGGTTTAAACCCCGTACAGCGTTCTCTTTGGGCAGGGAAATTTAGCTCCCAGGTCCATACGGCGTACAGGCCGTTTCAATACGGGTAAAATGTGTTTTTGTCTATTTGTGTGTGTGTCTACCTTGTGACGGAACTTTGTCGGATGAACGTCGAGATTGATAAGGGCACGGGGTGACCAACACGGTCTGATTTGGTCTGTAATAGGGTAGGGCACTCACAAGGGGCTCACCGGTGTGCAACTGCGAACCAGAAGTTGGGGTTTTAGCTTATAAAACTCGGCTCTGATGAATCGAGTATTACAAGCATTAGTAAACGATTCTTCAAAAGTATTTATATTATTTCTATCCTGCTGTGTCCTGGTACGGCGCTTTAAAATCCTTGAAGTAAACCCGCCGATATAAATGTAATTCTAATCATTACGAGTTGTTCACAAAAGCAATTCCGGAATTCGGCCAGGAAAGTCACAACATGTGCACACGAACGGCGCTTCCACGCAAGCACCCGACGCTCCGTTTAGAAGTTGTATCTCATATTAGTGTATCATGCATCGTAGTAGAGAAAGATAAACGAAGTAGTGCGCCTATCAACGGGGAGCGCGTGCGGGGAGAATGGCGAAATTGTCGCCAAACAAATGGCAAAGTCGTGTCGGTGGGGCCAGTCGATTCTGGGAATCGATTGAGAATCGCCTCGTCCTGCTGATCGATTCCGACGTAATCGAACGTCTGTCCGTGCGCCGCCGTCGTCGAGCACGTGGCGCCCCCTGCAGGGGGACCACGGCGAGTGCAGCGGTCATCACAGACTCGACGTTCGGCGTTTTATATATATAGATTGTTGTTTATATATAGATTGTTGTTTATATATAGATTGTTGTTTATATATATAGAATAGATTGTCGTTTATATATTGTTGTTTATATATGTAGATTGTTTATATATTTAGATTGTCGTTTATATATAAATATTGTTGCTTATCTATATCGATTATCTATATCGATTTTTTAAAATCTAAATCGATTGTTTATCTATATCGATTGTTTATCTATATTGATTGTTGTTTATCTATATAGATTGTTGTTTATATATAGATTGTCGTTTATATATATAGATTGTTTATCTATATAGATTGTTGTTTATCTATATTGATTGTTTATATACTGTAGATTGTTGTTTATCTATATAGATTGTTTATCTATATAGATTGTTGTTTATCTATATAGATTGCTTATCTATATAGATTGTTGTTTATCTATATAGTTGTTTATATACTGTAGATTGTCGTTTACATATATATTGTTTATATATACAGTATATAGATTGTTTATATACTGTAGATTGTCGTTTACATATATATTGTTTATATATACAGTATATATATTGTTGTTTATATATACAGTATATAGATTGTTTATATACTGTAGATTGTTATGATTGTGCGGCGACCCTACTTCGATTCCCAATCACGGCCCCCAACGCCGATGACGATTATCCCTTCCGATTAATCGATATCGAGTGGGTTCTCTGGTGGGGCGAGTGGGGGGGGGGTCATAGAAGTGGTGTACAACTCTCGCGCGCGTCTCCGCCGTCTTCCCGGTGCCGTCGTGTGCAGCTGCTGGAGTTTGCGTTTTTAAATCAGCAAACGTCGCAAAGCTTCACCAACAACTCGTCAAACTCCCTCAAGGTGAAATAACAAGTATGGGCTAAGGTGAAACAAGCATGGGTTCAGGTGAAACAAAACAGAAACAAAGATTTGCTGTTTAAGGTTCCGTGCTTTTATTTTTTACATCCAAAAAAGTGGTTTTCTGTCCTTGCAATGTCACAAATTCAGTTTTTTTTTTATGTAAAAAGAGGGAAAGCGTTTAAAGCGTTACAGGGCTGCTTCGAATGCTCTTCTAAAACGGGCTTGCAGCGAATTGTTTGGTCGTATACATGCGAGAAACGATAGGAATGTTTTACCCATTTGTGGCAATACAAGTTGTTAAGATGTTCAAATACCAAATAGAAATCTTTTGCAAGGAATCAGTCTGGATTAAGCACACACAGCACTTTGTGGTGAACATGCAAACAAAAATACGCTCTAATAATCTGTCCTGCACCAGAGGCAGCAGCAGCAGCCTGGCTCGTGGCCTCGTCTCAGGCCAGTACAAGAACCATGCACCATCTAGTGGGTGAATGGCTCTCTGGCCTAGTGAGTGAATGGCCTTGTGACCTCGTAGGTGGATGATCTAGTGGCTTTGTGGGTGAATGACCTTGTGACCTAGTGGGTGAATGACCTTGATCTAGTAGGTGGCTTCGTGGGGAATGGCCTTGTGACCTAGTGGGCGAATGACCTTGTGACCTCGTGGGTGAATGGCCTTGTGACCTCGTGGGTGAATGACCTGAATCTAGTAGGTGGCTTCGTGGGTGAATGGCCTTGTGACCACGTGGCCTAGTGCAGGGGTTGGCTACCAAAATAAAATAAATTGATATCGGTAAAAACAAAAACCCTCTATTTCAAGAGCCACAATGCATGTGAATACGAAATGGTGGTCCTTACTAAATGTCACAAAGCAGTCTTTAAAGAGCCGCATGCGGCTCTGGAGATGCAGGTTGCCGACCCCTGGCCTAGTGGCAGGCCGTGTGGGTGGCTGGGTGGCCTGGGTGGTGAGCGGGTGCACTGGTTGGTGAGTGGGTGCACTGGTTGGCGAGTGGGTGCACTGGTTGGCGAGTGGGTGCACTGGTTGGTAACTTAGTGATCTGGTGGGGGGCTGGATTGCCTCGTGGGCGAGTGGCCTCGTAGCCCGTGGCTTATTGGGTGCCTGGGTGGCTAAGTGGGTTGCCGAGTAACCTCCGTGGGTCAGTGTTCTTGTGGGTGAGTGACCTTATGGTTGGTTTTGCTTTCAGTTGTATTTGCTCTGGTTTATATTTGGTTATCTTAACGATTTTTATTCACTTGTCTCACCACCGCGATGCCCCTTCCTGTTTAATGCCCGCTATTATTTTCATACACACGACGTGTGCTGCTTGAGTCCAACTTCATTCCCATGTTTTACAAACACAGTATTTTGTTTATTTTAAATGGTCCCATCATTTTGAGCTTGCCAAAGCATTCAATTCCTCAACGAAAAGGGAAAAAATTCATTTCTGAATTAAATGTTAAGATCACCCCTTAATCTAAGGGTCACACACGATCTTAGCATGCATCGGGGCGTCGGGCACACGCATGGTCCGTTAAGAGGCCCAACTTGATCGCTCTTAAGCACCTTTAAAAACGGTCATCTAACAAAGGTTTACAACATTAGAACTTACAAACAAGTATTTTAACTTTTGATTTAAAGCTTTTATTATTTTATTACTTCCCTTCTACGTGACTTTACCGAAAGAACCAAGAAGAAGTATTTTAACTGTTCAAGTTATGTTTCTGTTTAGGTTGATAATTCAAAGCATGTATTTTAGGCTAAGTAAACCTACATTTATAGAAAAAGAATTAGTTCAAGAACAATAATTTTCAGTCCTTAATCAATCCACTGTTGGATGAAGGCCTCCATACATTGTCTTGGCCATGGGGCCCTATCTGCCAAACTTCACCACGCTGGTCAATGCAGGTTAGTGGACATGGATCACAATCATCAAAGTTTTACAAAAGTACGTGCATTTCAAGTGAAGTACGGCACGAACTTGGTATCCCCGATGTTGGCTATCTGCGAATCGAGATTAAGTGATGAGAGATAAAGTGATGTGCTCAAGACAAGTTCATTTATAATCTAATATTTAATACTTGGTTCTTTGTTTTATTATAACCAATTGTTTTGTGTTATGATAATTTTCATGTATTTAATACCTTGATTTGAAGCTTTCGTGACTGCAGGAATCCATACTCTTTGGTTCTTTTACACCGACGTGACTTTACCGAAAGAACCCAAGAGTATGTAATACCTTGTTTACCTATTGATTTCAGGTAATTCATAAAAAATATAGGTTTTCATAGGCCAATATCTGCTAATCACGAGCATCTCCGGAGCGTATTCGCTCTCCAATAACAAGGGAGTGCTGTGGTCAACACGGTGATCAGTCGTTTTGGAAAATACCACACACTCCGAATCGTGTGCAAGAAAAATCAGGAGGTTGTACAAAGGACCCTGTATTCATGGTGCTCCTGGATCACCACCACCACCACCACCACACGCATCCTGACGCCCTCCGCCTGGTCGGCGTAACGAGCCGGGCACGCTGGGCTGGGCTGTAACCCAGCATCTCCAACGCGAGCGTCAATCATCCTGCCACACACAGACGCACATAGATACACACAGACGCAGACAGGCACACACAGACGCGTACACACACACGCACATAGATACACACAGACGCAGACAGGCACACACAGACGCACATAGATACACACAGACGCAGACAGGCACACACAGACGCGTACACACACACGCACATAGATACACAGACGCAGACAGGCACACACAGACGCACATAGATACACACAGACGCGCAAACAGACGACACACACAGACGCAGACAGGCACACACAGACGCGCACAGACGCACATAGATACACACACGTACACACGCACAGAGATGCACACAGACGTGCCCAAACGCATAGCGGTTAGCCCGTGACAAGATAATAACAATATGATAATGCCACAGCACTCGTACGCGAACGTGTCATTGTGGAGCAAATGTTACAGAAACAGAGGATGCATCGCCTTTGCATTGAACAATTTACTCCAACACGACGTTCCGGCAAAGTTGTTAATCTAAGCTACCAAGCAATCACGGAAGACCTTTCCGATGAAACATATAACAAAATAGAACACTGTAAATACTTTGTGCTTGCTGTGTGATAGGAAATGAAGCAAATGTAGCAAGTTAATTGTCAAGCTGTAGCCTTGCTTCTTCTTGGGACACGTAGCAACGTCAACGATCAGCTTACCCATTCATCGTCATCCACTCCCTCCATCTCGTCTTGAGGTAAAGGATCATCCCGCGAGGAGAGCTTCGAGACCATGGCATTCAGCAGCTGAGGCAGGAAGGGAGATGCAAACACATCATCATCATTGTATAAACTATTAACTTTTATATTTTACCAGGTAAGGGTCCCACTGAGCGAAAAAAACATTTTTTCAGAAGCGACCTGGCAACTCACAACGAATTGGCTTTTCATCGTGTGGACATTTATAGCAGCCAAATAATATGAAACGCGTGATGTTGATTCTAAATGTGGAGGGGAAAACCCAGAGAAAAATCCACGCGACCATGGAGAGGGAGAGACATGAAAACTCAAAATATACAGCAGGCATCAGAGTCAGGATCGGGGCCATGACCTCGTGCATACCAGGCGAGGTAGTTAACATCTACCCACATCCTTTCCCGTATAATGAGGCCAGAAATTATTAAACCGGGAAAAACAGATTCACGGCACAGCTTTTAGGACACACCGAGGACAGAATTTATTAAACCACCACTCGCGACCTCCTGCGTGCCAAGCGAGGTGGTGTTCTTGAACAGCACCTGGCATCCCAGAAAATCTCAAAGCGCATCTCCCATATGACAAAACGGCAAGCTAAACTACATTGCTTCATTGTTATTACGCTTGATTACCCAGAAAAGCCTCACTAAGTCTCTTTTCTGGGGGAGGGGGGGGGTCCTTGTTGCAGCAGCAGGAGGCAATGCTGCTACACATAATCCCAACCGAGTAATTTGTAGGCAGATTTTCAGCATTGGGATTTGGGATGTTTTGGCAGATGGCAGTTGCGTTGTAGCTACGGCCCGGAAACCAGAGAGGGGCCAGATGAATCAAACCCAAGCGGCACGGGGGGGGGGGGGGGGGGACATAAAAATCCCACGCGGAAATGCGCCCAGGTTTAGGGATCGAACCCCGCGAGCTTGTTGCCGTGCGGCACGAGCGTTGCCACTGGTGCCGCCCCGTGCCGCCCTCTCCCCCGCGGCGCTGCTTACCTCCTCCTTCTTCTGCTGGTCCGACTTCTCCTCGGCGTAGGAGTTTCCGCCGGCGTACTTCCTGGTCGTCTCCTCTCGCGGGACGCTCGACACTGTGGGGCCACAGGGACCAGTGCCACCAACCCACTGAAGTTGAACCAACTGGGAACCGCGCTGTCATTCACATGACATTGACCGTGCGAGTGCACGAGCGCGATTGTGCACACGTGGTGCTGTGTGTACTGTGTAATGTACTGTGTAGTGTACACGTGGTGCTGTGTGTACTGTGTAGTGTACTGTGTAGTGTACACGTGGTGCTGTGTGTACTGTGTAGGGTACACGTGGTGCTTTGTGTACTGTGTAGTGTACTGTGTAGTGTACACGTGGTGCTGTGTGTACTGTGTAGTGTACTGTGTAGGGTACACGTGGTGCTGTGCGTGCTGCGTGGTCTTTACGTGGTGCTGTGTGTACTGTGTAGTGTACACGTGGTGTTGTGTGTACTGTGTAGTGTACACGTGGTGCTGTGTGTACTGTGTAGTGTACTGTGTAGGGTACACGTGGTGCTGTGTGTACTGTGTAGTGTACACGTGGTGTTGTGTGTACTGTGTAGTGTACCGTGTAGTGTACACGTGGTGCTGTGTGTACTGTGTAGTGTACTGTGTAGTGTACACGTGGTGCTGTGTGTACTGTGTAGTGTACTGTGTAGTGTACACGTGGTGTTGTGTGTACTGTGTAGGGTACACGTGGTGCTGTGCGTGCTGCGTGGTGTTTACGTGGAGGCATATCGCCGGGGCACAAGCTGCGCTTCTTGAGTTTGCCGTCTGTGCCGGCAAACCAGGCGTCTGCCGTGAGCGCCGCCTCCCACCACACCAGCGTGTCGGGGAACAGGTCATCCTGGAAGTACTCCCTCTGAAACAAAGACAAAGGTCCCCCGTGTAGCCTTAACAGACCGTCGGGGCATGTGCTGTGAGCGAGTGAGCACCTATGAAGGTCGGCACGGCGCACGAGGGGGTGGGTGGCCAGCACCACGCCCGCCCGGCCGCCTTTGTCTCCCCAGTAGCGACGTTTACACATCTCGTCCAGTACTCATTTGAGGCCGAGTCGACCTGCAACAGGTACGTGCACGTGGGGTCCCCAAGGAGACTGTCCTCCTCGTCTCTTGGGTTGTCACCTGGCTAGCCTGAGCAAGGTTGACGTAGCGACGGCGTGGGCCCCACCTCCTTCAGCCACACACGCGTCTCTTCCCATCTGCATCTCGACGCGCCCGCCCCCTTCACGTGGGCAAGTGCAATAGGCGTCTCTCTCTCTCTCTCGCTCGCTCGCTCGCCTTGACACGCGGCACGCTGAACGCCAGGGGCTCGATGGTGCTGTTCCCCAGCCGCAGGGCGCGCGCAAACTCCACGTCACGCACGTTGCACTCCGTCTTGCGCAGGAACACCATTCCCTGCGGCCGCACGCAACCAACGAGCTAGAACGCAGCACATCCACGCCCCGCCACGCAAGTATACACAAGCATCACAGTCCTTGGCAACACTGTACTGACATTTATATAGATAGCGCGATGATCTCACATTTTTGACATGCCTATATTTCCGCGTTTTCATATTTATACAATGTAATCACAAGAATGTGTATTTTACATGCAGCAACGTCGCCCCTCCCGCCTACAGTGAAAACCTGGCAGGACTCTTCTGAAAAAAGCATCTTGAGACTCCGTGAAGCTTTCCAGGGGAGACAAACATAGTCAAGTATTTATAAAAGTAAACTCAACTTTTTGTTTTACCAGATGAGGCTTACTGAGCCATGTAGCTCTTTTTCAGAAGCAACCTGACCACAGATGATAGTGCTACGAAGCGGCTTATCCTCACGTGGACATTTATAGCAGCCAAATATTCTTTAAACGCAACGTTGATTCTAAATGCGGAGGAAAAAATCGGAGGGCCCGGAGAAAAATCCACGTGACCACGGGAAGAGCGAGAGACACGCAAACTCCAAATATACATCAGGCGTCGGGGTCAGGACAAACTACCGCCATGCTCACAGGTTTGCAATCTGTATGTACACCTACGTACGTTGAACGTTTTTCGCGCCGTATGTAGCCAACCGTGTTAATCGGAAGTGCGGATCTCACAAAGGACGAAACGTGCACTTTTAAGCTTTCCACGGCGGTTTTGGGTCCTCCTGCGATCGCCACCCACAGCATGTTGACTGAGCTCGGCAGCCCAGCACCCCCTTCCCCCCAGGGCAAAGTGGAAAGCGTGGTGCTGGAAAGCGTTGCGCTGGGCAGCACGGTGCTGGGAAACGTGGTGTGGGAACAACCTTGTGAGGCTCGGAGGAGCTGTAGCCCGAGCACTCGAGGAAGTACGGCGGTTCAGCGCTGAGCTCGAACACAGAGACGCGTGTGTCGCCCTAGCACAGGGTGACGGGGGGGGGGGGGGGGGGCAGCCACGCACGTGTCAACGGTCACCAATTGCTACTTATGCCACCGCGACCAACGCTCGCAATGTCACCATCGTGCCGCCTGTATCACCATCGTCATCACCATCGTCATCACCATCGTCATCACCATCGTCATCACCATCGTCATCAACATCGTCATCACCATCGTCATCACCATCGTCATCACGATCAATGGGCAGATAGCCCCGGAGGTGTCCACTGCACATTTCGTTTCCACTTTTCTCTCTGGTGCCAATTCGCTCCAGAAGTGGCCACATTTTTCCGGCACTAATCTCTTAATGTCATCTGTGAAGACTTCCTCTCCGTCCGGTTCCTTCCATTTTTCTGCGCAACACACTTTTAATTTCCCTGTTGTTCATCCTCCATGTGTGTCCATATCGTGCCAGTGCCTGCATCATCACCCTATTCTTCTACGTGCAAACCATCAACCTTCGTACGTCCGGCGTAGACTTCTCCCTGCACATTAACCCACCACCCGCGCTTGCGTGGCTTTTGGGGCAGGCGGCCGGCAATACCTTCCCCGTGAGAAAGACGAGGTGGCAGTCGGGGTCGTAGGAGGGGATGAGCGTGGAGGGCGACACGTCAGCCGACACTTTGGACACGGGCCCGGCAGCCAGGGCGCCGGCGTCGTGCAGGGACACTTGGCGCACGCTGCCGCTGCGAGAGAGAGACAACGCGGCGTGGCGCTCCACTACGGCTCGGCTTGTGAGAGAGACTACTCTCCAACTATTTATTTTTTACCAGGTAAGGCCCCGCTGAGCTGTGTAGCTCTTTTTCAGAAACGACCTGGCCATCACAAATGATCGCTCAACAAAATGGCTTATCATCGTGTAGAAATTTAGAGCCGATAAATACTCATGGCCCACCCTCAACCGCATCCGCTGCACAAACCATGGCAGTAGATGTGTGATACCTGATGCACAAATGGAAAATTAAAAACTCTCCGACGTGCGACTGTGGTCATCCAGAACAGAGACCGTACAGCATATAACGACGCAACGCCCCATCCACAAATACGAAGGAGACATCACAGCCATGATACACTACTCCGCTGCTCTGGACGCGGTCATCTGGCTTGACGACCTGAACGTGACATTGTAGTCGTTGCTCTGCACCTACGTCAGCCATACCAAGAAGAAGAACGCTTAGCCTACTGCCTACCAGTGATGGTTGGAACCAAACCCGAACCCGGAGCTGCCGGTCCCAGTAAACTTCAATCATTCAATTAATCTTTATTTTACGTGCCAATATCGCCCTCAATAAAGTAGGCGTTGCGGCACAGTACAAGTGCACTGTGTAATTGGCACTGATGAGTGAAATTGCAATTAAGTAATCTACAGGTACATTGTCAGTATTGGGATAGTCCAGTCAATACCGGCTACATTGGACTTTTTATTCAGCTCTTGAGAAAACCACTGCAGCACTATTTTTTTAGAACTGCTTTTTGTGTATAGTTTGTTGTCTTTCCCACGCACCTCCAATTAGCATGGTTGGCTACGTATGGTGCGAAAGAAGTTTAACATAAGTACGTACATACAAACTCCACGCCCGAGTTGGGGAGAGTCGAACCCAGGCGGTTCTTGCGCTGTGCTTGCAACCACCCGATGGCTTACCTGTCAAACCCCGAGACGAGCAGCCGCGTGCCCTGCAAAGCCCAGACCACCCTGGCGCCCCTGCTGCCGGCTGGGCCAGGTCCCTCCTGCCAGACAGACGGGGAGCGCAGGGCACTCGGGCGAAGTGTGGCCACCACTCCACACACGCGAGTTTACACACACCTTGCCCATCTACCGTGCGGAGCTCGTTCAGGAGCGTAAACCTCCATCGCTCGCAAACTCCGGTGGCCATCCTTGCGGCAGCAGCAGCAGCCGCTTTGGCTTCCCATCGATCAAAGGCGGTGGTCACCGCATCGCGCTCTTTCAGATGCGCTTCTGTGGCCATCTGGTACGTTCTACCTTCCGATATTAGGAAGTCACTGGAGCTATGCACTTCTAAATCATTTAGATTGAAAACAAATTTCTTTAGAACTGCTTCTTGTATTAAGTTTGTTGTCCTTCCCTCGCACGTCCGATTAGAATGGTTGGCGACGCACGGTGCTGAAGAACTTCAACATACACACACACATACATAAAACATTGTGATCATTATTATTAGAGGTGAGCGCACCTGCATAGGCTTGGTGGATTGACGAGGGTTGAAGATTCTCACTTTCCCATCCTTGCTGACCGTGGCCAACCGCTGTCCGTCTGGACTCCAGGCCAAGGAGAAGATCTACGAGACGGAGTGCACCCACAGTCACCACCGTCATTAGCCCACCATCTCTACGCATCGCGCAGAAGACACAAGGTCACAAAGACAAAACGGGCGCATTGCCAGCGGAGAATCGGAAACTTTGTTAATGAACACGAATGAAGCAATAAAATAACTTCTTGGCAGATAATACGCCTTCTTCACATTTTCAGTCCCTCCATGCACGCCTGTACAGGTGGTCTCCGGTTCACGACGGTCTGATTCATGACGATCCACATTCGCGGTGTTTATAGAACGCCACCACGGATCGATTAACGATGCAGAAGCTTGATTCAGGACCGTGTCTTCCGACACGACTCCCGAACGCAATTGAACGGGGTCGGTTTGGTTTTGACTTGGCGTGAAGCTTTTGTGTGACTTTGTGGATAACCTGTTAAACCCAGTTAAATAGGGTCAATAAAAGGACAAACACATCGGCAAGTGATGTTTCTACTGTTTCTAGTGTCTGTAGGGAAAAGAGGGTTCCAATTTATGTAAATGTAGATCGTCGTAAACCGGAGACCATAAAGACGCGGGGACGACTGTATGTATATGTATTTTAAAAAGGTGTTATTTACACGTGCCATTGGCCGCACAGCCATCTGGGAGAGAGACATTTCCGCAGCGTTGGTTCTTCGCGAGCAAACTCTGGGCCGGTTTCGACATTCAGGTCTCGAACGTCTGATCGACATGAGTCCGATGTGAGGAGAAGGGGGAGTTTCGGCTGCTTATTTATTACGACAAAGCCGAGGTGGCCCGTCACAGTGACCTCAGCACTGCAGACGCTCAATGTGTCAGGCGGTGGTAGCCTCGGTGGATTCTCTTTGGCCTGCCAGAAACAACGAGGCGGATCTAAAGGAGATGGGGAATACGCAACACAGCTGCCTGTGGCCGTCAACACTCAACGACCGACGGAGCTTGAAGTAAAACAAACTAAAGCTGCCGAGTAATAATTAATACAACAATGACAAGCACACATGAGTAACTGGAAATGTGCTTAAGGGTCTGTTATGTGAATGATAATAACATCGGTCACCTGACATGCGGCGTTGATATGAAACCGATTAAAAAAATCTCAGCAGCTTCTGCGTGCAATCGTTATGAAGCCGGGGCGAGTTAAATATTCGGCGCCGTTGAACTGTGAGGAACGTGTCTCTCGTGCCTACAGGCTACCACGGTGGCGAGCCCGAATTCTTGTCACGGACGTCACTCCGTCGTTGGGAGTTCAGCGCCGTGACTTTCCTCACAATGGCCCGGGAGATGATTCCCCTGGCAAGCGAGTGGGGGGGGGGGGTGGAGGTGCTGCATGTCACCTGCTCACTGTGACCCTCCAGCTGAAGGATCTGCCTCTTGGACTTGAGGTTCCAGATGCGCACGCTCATGTCGTACGAGGAGGATGCCAGCACGTCGGCAGCCAAGGGATGAAACTTGAGGGAATAAATCTTCTCGGTGTGGCCTAAAGATGAACCAGGCAGGGTAAGCCACCTCCGATTAGCACAATGAGCTACGTAGGGTGCAACAATAAGTTCAACATACGTACAGCCATAACACTCAACTGACACTAAACTTTTTAGTTTACCAGGTAAGGCCCACTGAGCTTCTTTAGCTCTTTTTCAGAAGCGACCTGGCCACAAATGATAGCTCAACGAAGTGGCTTATCATCGTGTGGAAATGTATAGCACGCAAATTAACTAAAACGCGTGTTATTATTTGTTCTATCTACTTGAGACTCGGTGAGCCCTTCCGGGGTAAACAAGCGGAATAATAAATACAACTGCACGTGAAGTTGTCGTACAGAATAATTCAAGTCGCCTTGGCAGTCTTGTGATGTTGCCCATGTTAGTTAGCATGTGGAGTGGAGCGGAGTAAAATGGAGCGGTGAGGAGCGGAGAAGATTGGAGCTGAGTGTGGAGTGGAGTGGAGTGGTGAGGAGCAGAGTGGTGTGGAGCAGAGTGGAGTGGTGTGGAGTGGAGTGGTGTGGAGTGGTGTGGAGTGGAGTGGAGTGGAGTGGTGAGGAGCAGAGTGGAGTGGTGTGGAGTGGAGCAGAGTGGAGTGGTGTGGAGTGGAGTGGAGTGGTGAGGAGCAGAGTGGAGTGGTGTGGAGCAGAGTGGAGTGGTGTGGAGCAGAGTGGAGTGGTGTGGAGCGGAGTGGTGTGGAGTGGAGTGGAGTGGTGAGGAGCAGAGTGGAGTGGTGTGGAGCAGAGTGGAGTGGTGTGGAGCGGAGTGGAGTGGTGTGGAGTGGAGTGGAATGGTGTGGAGCGGAGTGGTGTGGAGTGGTGTGGAGCAGAGTGGAGCGGTGAGGAGCGGAGTGGTGAGGAGCGGAGCGGTGAGGAGCGGAGTGGTGAGGAGCTGAGTGGTGTTAAGTGGAGTGGTGAGGAGCGGTGCGTCTCACCGGAGAGCACCACGTGGGGCTCGGTGAGCGTGCTGCTGAGACCCGCCTCTGGGACGATCCACAGCCGAATTCGCCCGTCCTCTCCCGCTGCACATGCCACCGCACAGGGAAGCATACCACACGCCTCCTCCTTTACACATCTGTCCCTCTGCGTAACAAGTACGGTTTACACATCCCGCCATGCGTTACGCATCGCACAGAGGCAACAACTCGGTGCGCCGTACTGCGCACGTGACACGCGGCGCTTGGTGCTTGGCAGCGCGTTTGTGCACTGCGGTGGGCAACGCATCGTGGCAGGATGGGCCGACCGCCAGCAATTGTTTGGAGAGACAAGAAATGCATGTGTGTAGGTTGCACTTCTTTCACACCGTACGTAGCCAACCGCGCTCAACGGAGGTACGGGGGGGGGGGGAAGGGCTGCCTACCCACAGCCAGGCGACACGGGTTGAACGGGTCCCAGCAGAAGTCCGCGATGGCTGTGCCGTTCTGCACAGTGGGAATGGCGGCGTCTTGCAACTTCCCCGTCTGCGAGAGCTGCACAAACACAGATCGCACGCGCACACACAGGGAGCCTTCACATAGCCCATCTCCGCTTAACCTCACAGCAGCAGCAGCAGCGGCGGCGGCTTTTGGCTCGCCATCGAACAAAGACGATCACCGCATTGCTCGCGGCCGTCTGGAAAGCTCTTCCGCCCGATATAAAGAAGCCACGGGAGCTATGCACTTTTAAATCTACATTGAAAACTAATTTCTTTAGAGCTGCGTTTTTATGTTTCATTATTTGTCCTTCCCCCGCACCTCTGGTGAGCACGGTTGGCTACGTAACGTGCGAAATAAGTAATACGTACAAAATCATGGCTTAACAACAACACTCGGCCTCCAACAGCACAATTGCCCAAGTGTGGGAACTCATGGCGCTTGTGCACACATCCCAGGGGGCCCTGTGCTTCTCACGATTATTTAATTGTGCAGGGACAGAGAGATGAGGGAGACGTTTTGTCGGCCTATTCCTAGTGAAGCATTTGGTCATGTTTAGCAATGATTCGACTAACAAATCAATAATCAGGGAACGTCTCCTCCACATATTTGTACCTCCACACTCCACACAAAACACACAAAACACACCGTACGTATTTTACACATCCCATCAGCCACGCAGCGGCCATCTGCGAGGGCATCATTTCGGCCGAGTTGGTTCAACACGAACGAACTTTGGGGACCGGCTAACGACAATCCAGCGGTCCAGGCTGTGCGTGAACGGGTGCCGAGTTTTGTGCAATTGAAATGAAAGCGTGCAGAGAAGGCGCCGGCGCTGCGGCAGTACCGGCAGCACGGCGAGTTGCCCCCCGGAGGTAGCGAGGGGCACGGCGATGAAGCGGTGGTTGGCCGCCATGCCGTCGCACTCTCCGGGCGTGGTCAGGCTCACGTTGCGCAGGTTGCCGATGTGAGTATCGCGGTGCAGCACCACGCCGCGCATGTGACGGAATTTGGACGTCACACCTGCGTTTGAAAAGCACGCGGCCATGAGCACACGACCATCGCAACTCGCCACCACGCGAGACGTCTCGCTGAAATAACGTGAACGAGTTGCAGCAGGTACACAATTCTTTACCGCTCATGTCGTGACGGGTACCGCAAGATCCGACCGTGTCTGTCCGGTGCTCGCCGAGCTGCATTGGCTTCCAGTTTCCGAACGACTAAACCAAACAACCAAACTATATTTTTTACCAAACTATTTTTTTTTACCAGGTGAGGCCCACTCAGAAGTGACCTGGCCTTTTTTTTAGCTCTTTTTAAGAATGTACGTATGTTGAACTTCTTTCGCGCCATACGTGGTAAATCAGAAGCGACCTGGCCACAAATGATAGCTCAACAAAGTGGTTTATCACCTGGAAATTTACATCAGACAAACACCCTGAATGCACGTTGATTATAAATTTGGAGGAAAAAGCGAAAAAAACACGACCACGGGGAGAGAGAGACATGCAGACACGAAATACACAACAGGCATCGTCAGGGTCGGGATGGAACCCATGGCCTGTATACCACGCGAGGTGGTTAACATCTCGCCACGGCAGCGCCCACGTTGCAGGTGCGGCCAGGTCGACTCCGGGCGGGAGCGAGCGGCTCGCAATCGCGAGGTGAAGAGTCCGGATCGTGGGTCGCCGGTTGACTCAGCCACCGTGAGTGCGTCGGGCCTCACCGACGATGCTGTAAGCTGCTGGACGCTTCGCGCCACCCGGGCTGCCGGCTTTCTCTGCCGACTTGCCGCCGCTGTTCTCTCCGCCGGCCCCGGGCTTCTGCAAGACACGGAGACGACGGCTCGCTTCACGGAGCAACGACAGCGACTACGGCAAGATCGGCTGTTGCCTCCGATTATTTATTTAGTACTGTAGATCAATAAAAGCATTATTCATTTGAGTTTATTTATCTTTTAGTTTTCTGTGCAAAACTACGGTAATAACTTTGTTCGAGCGAAACTTTGTTGCTTGAACATACGCATATCGAGGCGATTACTCTACTGGAAAAATCTAATTCTGAATATGCGGCACGGATCAAGATTAGTTCACAGCTACAACTTTTAAAAAGACGCAAACGTCGTTCACCTCCGTGACGCCGCCAGTGCTCTTCTCCGCCAGTGGCTTCTTCGCGTCCTCTGTGTCCGCGTGCGGCGCGCTGAGAGTCGCGCTGCACTTGGGCTGCTGTGCCGGTTTCAGGATCGCCGAAGCGTTCCTGCCTTCCTGTCTCTTTGTTGGATCTAAGCTCACCTTCTCCACCTGCAAATACAAAGATTCCCACCACCCCCACCACCCCCCGCGTAGCCTTAACAGACTGTTTGGGGCGAGTGCCGTTAGCGAGGAGCAACACCTACGGAGACTGGCACAGTGGCACACGAGGGGCGTGTGGGTGGCCGGCACCACCCCCGGCCGCATTTGTCTCCCTAGTGGGCTTGTTTACACACTGCACGAGGTACTCGTTTGAGGCCCAGGATCAGTTCCGATAATCATCGCTGGTGTTGGTGGCCGTGAACAGGAATTGAACTCAGGTTGCCGAGTTCGTAGCGCAGTGCGCTAATCGCTACACTAGCGCTCTCCCACCAGCACACACACAAACACGCAACAAAGACAAAGACCCCCCGTATAGCCTTCACCGACTATTTGGGGCAGGTGCTGCTCGCGAAGTAGCAACTGTGAAGGCCGGCACACCGCCCGACGGGGTGGGGGGTATGCCAGCTCCACGCCCGATAAGCGCACGGCAAAATGTACGGACAGCTGTCGACATTTTTTTTCCGGAACAACGTGAAGGAAGATTGGTGTTTGCCATCTATGACGGATGGCGGTGGTTCTAACGGAGCATTCCAGATGGCAGAGCGTCATGAGTGGCTCACCGCACGGTTCTGCCCCGTCCACCAGTCGGAGCCCAGCATGGCAGCGACGTCTCCCGCCGTGTCCACAAACAAGTCTGCATGGAACTGAAACGTGTTCTGAAAGAGGGAAGAAAGAAATCCCCCATTACATTGTGCGCACAGAAATTGATGTTTTTGGTGGCGGAGTGGCGGCACATCGGTCGTGCATCACAGCAAGAAGGGCCTGGGTTCGATACCCAACCCGGGCACCTTTCTTGCGTGGAGTTTGTAAGTTCTCTCTCTCCCCCCCCCCCCCCCCCCGCTTTTCTGTTAGGGGTTTCCTCTGGGTTGTCTCCGTTCCCTCCCAAAGCTAACAAATAAAAACATCCAACCTAACCGGTGATGAAAAATAAGAGTACGTTTGACCCTTTCTGCAATAAAACGGGAGGTGTTAAGATGTTCAAACACCAAATAGAAACCTCTTGCAAGGCATCAAGTCTGCATTGACCACACGTTTTTGGTAAAACATGCAAATAAACACGCTCTGATAACCTAACCGGTATCGGGGTAAAAACATCCCAGTGCGAAAAAAATTACTCACAAATTACTCAACTGGCATCACACCAGCAGCAGCATCACCCTTTTACTGCGAAAAACCTGGCAGGACCCTCCTGATAAGAGTTGAAACGCAGCGACGCTTCCCTGGGAAATAATCACGAGCAGACTCAGAAGTGAGGTCACTTCCCTGCCGTTTGCCCAGAGCTTCGCGGTCACCTTTCTCGGCACGGTGTAGCGCACGGGCACGATGGTTGTGCTCGTCAGCTGCAGCAGCCTCGCCACCTCGCAGCCCATCACGTCCAGCGCCCGCTTGGGGAGCAGCGCCACGCCACGCGTCACCGCGTCCGTCACGCACTGGCACACTGTCCCCCCGGGGGGTCCGCAGGGGGTGGGGGGGGGCACGGCGGGTGGTTAAATATCGATTGGCCAAACGCCGACGGCGACCTTCGGAAATGAAGGTCGTATCCACGCGTACATTGCCCGCGCCAGGATGGGTGCACGGCTGCGAGCGCGCGTGGTGGCGATGGCTCGCCAGAGAGGAGCTCGCGAGGCAGCTCGGGGAGAGAGAAATCGAATGGCTGCAATCTGAGGCAACTCTGCACCAATACCAACAGTCGCCATTCGCCACTAAGTCACGGTGACGTCACCACAGCGCCCGTGCCAGGCCAGGTGCGCTTTGAGGCTATCGCGTGAAGTGTCAAAGGCTCGCTGACAGGTCGCGAGACAGACCCAGCAGGTGCCATGGGTTTGACTGATTGAGATGATTGGCAGATGCACCAGCTGTGCCGACTGTGCCAACTCTGGACCCCAACACATGAACACACAACAACAACAGAACAACAACTTCAAGACACTGAAATGAAAAGTTACGAATGTGCGGTAGCCATTTTTTTTTTACCATTACTAGCAGTGGAAAAGAACGATTTTAACAACCTTCAGTGACAAGTGGTAACATTACGGCCCACACGACTAAATCACATGGCAATGCGTCTCTCCAGGTCATGATGTTGCAGAGGAGATGTGGAGGTTTTAGGATTCCCTTCATTGCTTTCACAGGTAAACAAACGTAGGGGTCGCTACCTGTCCGGGTCTGACCCCGACGGGTTAGACCCAGAGGGCCCAGAATTGTCATCTATGGTTAGGGTGGCATAAAAGTATTTGTAGCGAGACCTTGCATTGAACTTTATTACAATAAAGTGCGCACAGTCTGGTAGATCCAGGCTGAAAGTGAAATGTGTCCGTGTTTATCCTGCAGTGAAGATTCAACCCTTCAACAAAACGTATTAACGTTGCAACAAGTTAACCGTGTTCGCTGCATAGATTTTATTTTATCGAGGGTTTTGAGGTCACGGTAAAACCGAGATGCCTGCATGGCACCCCAGAGTTAATGCACGTGGCAGCACGGACAGTACACACGGAACAGCACAGACAACACACACGGATAGCACACACAAGACCGCACACACAGGACCGCACACACAGGACCGCACACACAGGACAGCACACACGGGGTGCGACTCCATCGCTCTCTCTCTCCATCTCCCAATGTTACGGAAGCAAGAACCAATAACGCCGCTGTGAAACTGACCAGCCATAGGTAACGCCGCGTCTTTGCAGAACGCTCGCACACACACACACACGAACACACAATTCTAAAAGCCACTTGAATAGAATTTCACAAGGAAAATGGAAGGCCTTAAACGAAGAACCTCAGCTCCGCGGTTGTGATAGAGCCAACTGCCGGCATTGTAAGAAGTATACCATTTATGCAAATTAAGGCTATCCGGGTCTCTTGAGTTTCTCGCCTGGTCAAACAAACTTAAACAAACTTGCCACCGGCTGCGCATGCCGCATGCTGTGTACCTTGGCTGAGAGTGGGCTGAGACTCGGACACTTCCATGCAGTACACGACGTTGTCTCCCTGAGAGAGGGAGAGAGACAGGGAGAGCACACGCTCCATTAGCCACACGTCCTTTTGTTTACACAACAGCTGAGCACAAGCCCAAAATGCAAGGCAGCCAGCACACAAGCAGCACTGTTAAGTTGTAGTAGATAAGAGTCCACGTGTTTCTTGAACTCGGCAAGGGTTATTACAGAAAATCTTTGCAAAAAGAGGCGGTGGGAAGGAATTGGAAAGTGGAGCAGTGCAAGCAAAGAGGCCGAGAGAGAGAGGAGGGTTGTGACCTGCAGTGTGGTGGATGAACACGTGAATCGGAATCTTTATTTATCCTGGAGAAATCCGATGAGCTATGAAGATATTTTTCACAGATGTCCAGTAGGGGCAGGTCAGAAGGTTACAAGAACAAACAATACAGAAACACGATAGGAGTGCAAAGTATAAAGGTAAGAAAATCACTAAAAATAAATAAAGTGTATCAGTTAAAATTGCATTAAGTACACCATTTTTCTCCTCACTCATTACCAATTTCCCACCTCTCCTCATAGGAGGTATCCTCCACTCACATCGCGACCACCTAACAGTGCCACCTTAAATTTAGACTTACAACTTTCGTGACTGCAGGAATTCATCTTCTTGGTTCTTTCGGTAAAGTCACGTAGATAGAAAACAAAAATGTAAAGCAAAAAACCCACGACGTTTCGATCGCAACACAAGCGGTCTTCTTCAGGTGGCGAGAAAAGAGGGGGGGGGCTACCTGAAGAAGACCGCCTGTGTTGCGATCGAAACGTCGTGGGTTTTTTGCTTTTCATTTTGATTTGTTTTCTATCTCCGTGACTTTGCCGAAAGAACCGAGAATATGAGTGCCACCTGAACTACGACCTCGATAAGCACGGTTGGCGACGTGCCGTGCGAAAGCAGTTCAACATACGGACTTCCTCTCCACGTCTTGTTCTGCCCCTCTGCTGGAGAACGTCACCCTTAGTCTGGTGACACTGAACTCGGGGCTGTAGTGGCACCGACTTAACATCTCACCACCGTGGCGAGGTGTTAGCTACCGCATCCTGGTATGCAGGAGGTCGTGGGTTCCATCCAAACCCTCATTATGCCGGATGCGTATTTGGAGTTTGCACGTTCTCTCCGTGTTTGCGTGGCTTTTTCTCCGGGTCCTCTAAGAGTATTTGGCTGCTATAAATTTCCATATGATAAGCCACGTTGTTGGGCTATCATCACGTGGCCAGGTTGCTTCTGAAAACGAGCTGTGTAGCTCAGTGGGCCTTACATGGTAATATAATAAATAGTTTCGTTGTATAGTTTCACTAAACCACTCACCCCCCATACATGAAAGGGTGTGAGCATTCGCCAAAATACTTCTGTATTAATCCACTCATTTCACATCCCCTAGAATTACAATTAAATTGGTACAAATTTATCGTCGTGTTATAGAACGCAAAGGACGTTGTACCTTTCCAGCCAGAAAAAGCAATCCCGAATCGGCATCGTAGAGTGGAAGTAGGATTCTGTAACAACAACAATTGAATGCTACGATCAGACAACAACAGGAACACGAGCACAATCGCGTGGCCCAATCGGGAACGCGTGAAGGCACGTGACGAGCAACACACCATTACCATCGTGCCACGCGCGAGTGGGAAACACGGCAAGTAATGCAAACAAAAACTAAAATACGCATGGCCCAGAATTGTTCACACAGCCTTGGCCAGGGATCGGCAACCAAAATAACAAGGAGACTTTTATGTTTCGAATTCGGTAAAAAAAAACTCAATATGTCAAGAGCCGCAATGCCAGTTGTGAATCGGAGACGGTGGCGCTCCTTAATAGCCAGGGTCGCGGGGTCGCGGGGTCGCGCCTAAAGAGCCGCCGAGTGTGGCTTCAGAGCCGCAGGTCGCCGACCCCCCGGTCACTGGGAATGGTCTTGCAGCAGCACACTTATTTCAGCATGAAGGAGCTTACTTGGTGTGATAGATTACCCACTTTTAGCAACATGCAATATATAATAATAGGGGTTTTCCCCTTTTTTTCTGGCAACAAAACTGAAACCGTTTTACAAGGAATCATGTGTGCATTAACCACGATACTTGTGGTCAAAATGCTAACAAAAAACACTCTGATAATATATGCATTGTCCTTGAACCTGATTGGTCCATACCCTATTATTATATTTTGGTACTGGCAAAGGAGGTCTAATGATGCAATATATATTTGAATTGTTTTATTTACCAATTAAAAAGCGCCACCGAGTCAAGATTATTTCTCAGGAGGGTACTACCAAGTTTTCGCAGTCGGGGGCGATGCTGCTGCTGCTGCTTTTGATCCCAAACCAAGTAAATTGCAGGTAACGTTTCAAACATTGGGATGTTCGGCCAATACCCGCAACACTGCGATTGCCTTTCTTCTTGTTTGTTTAGCAGCTATGGGAGGGACACGGAGATGCCAGGCAGGGCACACAAAGGCGTCCGAGTCGGGAATCGAGCCCAGGGGCTTTCTTGCTGTGAGGCAGGAGCTACCACTGCACCGCCCCACCCTGGCCACCCTTGTTTGAGAGAGCAAGAGCGGATCTGAATGAACGAATCGATGCTTTGATAACTGTCGAGACCTTCCACACGTCGCTACTACCCCAAAGTGATTGTGGCCCCATTCCAGTTGCGTCTCTTGGCATCTCCATCCTGCCATCTCTCCCCTTCATTTAAACAGACTCTGAAAATCACGACAGTTTAAGAGTGAACGTAATTCTACAACGTAATTGCTCTTATTAAGTTTGTTTGTTTTACTGGATCTGTAATTGGGGGGGGTGCTTCGATTGTTGTCTGCCTGGCTGAGTCACCCTTCTTAGTTCTCCGGGTTTTAATCGGTTATAAACTTCCAAATTGTCCGAACTTCTGACATACAACGGCAGGTCTTGGCAAGCGCTGCACCACACCTCCGATTGGCACGGTTGGCTACGTACGGTGTTAAAGAAGTTCAACGTGCAAGCACGCATGTACGTGCCGTGCGTGAATTGGGCGAGCGTGCCGGCGATGAACGCGCAGGGCCAGACAGAGTGGGAGCCTCACCCTGAGGACGAGTTGAGCGTCTCGGTGCACACGGAGCCGGTGAGTTTCCGCACGTCCCAGAGCTTCACTTCTCTCTCTCTCACCTGACCAGACACACAGACGGCCGATCCTCGCTGTTCATTGCTCACAACAACAACAACAGCAACAACAACAACAGCAACAACAACAGCAGCAGCAGCAGCCGCCATTCGCCTCCGATTAGCACGGTTGGCTACGTACGGTGAGAAAGAAGTTCTACATACGTACGCGCGAAAGAAGTTAAACATACATACATCACCACGGTGCTTGTGCCAGGCCAGGTGCACACAACACAGATGTGCGTATGTCCACAATTCACCTTTTTTTTTTAACACAGGAGCTGACCACACGCCAAAAAGCCCAAAACACCAAGCGGCGAGCAGCACAGAGCACGATCCTTGGCGTAGTCGATCAAAGTTCATACTTTTCTCGAATTAAGCAAGGTTGTTATCAGGTTGCTGAGGGGAAAAATTGATGGGAGGGATTTATAAAGTGGAACAGTGCAAGTGTTGTGACCTGCAGTGTGGTGAGTGAGTGGGTGGATGAGTGGGTGAGGGAGTAGATGGATGCGTGGGTGAGTGGGTGGATGAGTGGGTGAGGGAGCAGATGGATGCGTGGGTGAGTGGATGGATGAGTGGGTGAGGGAGCGGATGGATGGAAGACCGTTCCAGATGGTCGCAGAAGCGCATCCAAAAGGTGACCACCGTCTTTGTTCGCCAACGGGACTCACCTGACTAAATCCCGTGGACACGATTAAGTTTTGGTTGCCAAGCCACAGCACACGAGAATCCTTGTCGTTGTCATGCCCTTTCACAGCCTGTGGACACACACAGACACATTCATGTACATCTACTCATAAGCACATGCAAGCATCCAAGGCGATTAAATATTAATTTATAAGTGACGAACACAAGTAGAAAATATGCAGATGTGCTGTGTACGCTCATCTGCAAACTATATGCTTACGAGACATATCGTGATTAAATGCACTGTCATAATTTGTACATGAATAATATTATATTTTTGGTTCTTTCGGTAAAGTCACGTAGAAGGGTAATAATTTTTTATATTTATATTATTTGATTATTTCCCTTCTACGTGACTTTACCGAAAGAACCAAGAATATGAATCCCTGCAGTCACGAAAGCTTTAAATCAAAATGAATAATAATATGAAGATGAATAGAAGATGAATAATATTGGTCGCAAAAGCCGCTTTCTCATGCGCTTCTGCGGCAGTCTGGAATGTTCTTCCTTCCGATATTGGGAAGCCACTGGAGCCTTGCACTTTTAATCATCTAGATTGAAAACGAATTTCTTTAGAACTTATTTTTCTGTTTCGTTTGTTGTCCTTCCCCTGCACCTTCGATGAGCACGGTTGACTACGTACGGTGAAAAATAAGTTCAACATATGTACCCACATTAGACGAACATTACTCTCATAAGCAAAGCAGGTGGAATGGTGCTGCCCCCTATTGTGCGGGACCAGAAGCTGTTCAATGAGCAGCACCTGATGTGAAGATTACAGTGGCCTACGTGGCACCACACGCCATGGGAGACGATCCCCAGTGTTTGAGTTGGTTAGTCGTGGCCAAGTGAATTGGTTACCTTCGCTGCAATTGACAGTGAAATTTCAGCCATTTGAAAATGTATTTCTATAATTGGTACGTGCTATATAAGGGCTTGCAGAGCATTGTGGGTTTTTCCTACAATTTTACAAACGAATATATATAAAAAAAATTAATAACTAAGAAATGTAGTTAAATAGCGAGCTTCTCTGCACACCATGCCGTACACTGCCGAGTAAAGGGCCGCAATCGATGCTTTGCTTTCAATTTTCCACCTTTTTGAGATCAACCTTGGATTGGTTGGCTGTGGCGAGGACCTTACCTGCACAGCTGAGAGCTGCAGTCGGGGGTCGAACACTCTCAGCTTCTTGTCCTGCATTCACCACACGGGCAACACGGACAACACGAGTGCTGCTGCACGGTTCACTGTGGAGGTGGACAGGTCTTACGCACGCAGGTTCGATCGTGAAGAACACCTTTCAGCAGAAGACGCACCGTGCGTAAACACACTCTGCTTTGAATGCAGTGACTTCAGTTTCCTCCCAGATATATATTTATTCTGGTTGTTCATAAAATCACAATTTTCAAGAAACTTTTAAATATTAAATTCAAGCGAGCCTGGTGAGTCAAAACCGGTTTCAGACTTTGCCATGAACCAATGCTGTGTGGTAAGATGTATTCCCAAGAGGCCGTAGGTACGATAGGATGTGTAAAAATACTTTATTTTTTAAGTGGAGCGACAGATAAGGAGAAGCAGAGGTTATGATCTGCTCTTCTTCTTTCGTACGGCTGATGTACATGCAAAGCTGCTGTTCATTTAATTCGTTATTTATTACTTGCATTCTCCACCACGACGGCGATGATTATTTTAGATTCAACGTACGAACCGTGCACACAGACTATCGACAAGCTCGGGTGAGCATGCGGCACAGCGAGGCGTGCGTGCGCTGGCTCTGCGCTCCACACAATCACCTTGCAAGTGGAGGTGAGCAGCACCCCGCTCTGCTGCCAAGAGAAGTCTTGGACCTGGCCAGAATGATCTGCTAGAACTGCACACCAACCACACAGCGCAAACCCACGGTTAATGTACACACTGCTTTGCTTCTGGTTAACTAAAGTCCTTTAACAATACCACAAATAACACATACAGCACATGGCTCAATTCTCACACATTAATTACATTCTATGGTGGTTAATGCTGCGCTGGCAGCGATGCACAAGCACAGTTAAAAAAGAAAAACTCACATAGACGAGTCAACAACACCGCCTTCAAAGAATAAGACAATCAGCGACGTTTCGCACAATGGTTATGATGACCTGCTGCAGCGCCGTGTCGTAAAGAGCGCTCCGCTTACCGAGAATGTCACTGCTCAACGACCGTGACCCCCACCTGCCAAGGGCGCCTTCTGCAGCACGTCCCACACGGTGACGGCGTCGCCGCTCGCGCTGCCCAGGACGCCGTCGGCCGCCGGGTGGAAGCGCAGCAGCTCCACGCTCGATTGGGCCGCGGGCAGGACGAGCGAAGGGGGCGACGCCGCGTTGTCCACCCCGCCCTCGAGCAGCCGCCACAGCCTCACCTGCAGACACGAGCGCCAACGGTGGAGGTTGCCACCACCGCCGGGTCCACACCGCACAGGCACCGTGGTGCTACAGTGGCTAGGAGATGTTAACTATCTCGCCTGGTATACAGGAGGTCGTGGGTTCGATCCCGACGCTGACGGTGCCTGTTGTTTATTTGGAGTAGTTTGCGTGTCTCTCACTCTCTCTCCCCGTGGTCGCATGGATCTTTCTCCGGGTCCTCCGGTTTTCAGAATCAACGTACATTTAGAGTATTTGGTTGATATAACTAAGCTGCTTTGTTGACCTATCATTTGTGGCCAGGTCGCTTCTGAAAAAGAGTTATATAACTCAGAGGGCCCAACCTGCTAAATAAAAAGTTTAGTTTTAGTTCAGTTTACTAGTAAAGCAGTAAACAGTTAGCATCTTACTCTTCCAATTATATGGAAAGGGTTTCATTTTGAAGGTAGCATTCGACTTTTGTTATCATTATTACTACGCTTGCTTACCCATGAATGCCTGCCTCACTGAGTCTCAAGACTCTTATTCTTCATGAGGCTGTTACAATACGTTTTCACAGCAGGGAGCAACGCTATTTTTCTGTGTGCGTGCGATCCCGTACCTCCGATTTAACACACTCGGCTACGTTCGGTGTGAAACAAGTCCAACATACATACATCCCAATCGAGTCATTTGCAGGTACATTTCAAATTGGTACATTTGGCCAATATCAGTTGCATTGTATGTTTTTTTTTTTGCGATGGGAAGAAGCCGGAGAACACAGAGAAACCCCGATCTCAACAGGGGGAGAGAATACAAACTGCACGCAGCAAGGTGCCCGAGTAGGGAATCAAACCTAGGCCCTTCTTGCTGCGAAGCACAAACGCTACAATTGCGTTCATCTATAAAACATATATCGCTTAAATCCGGACTTGAAGCTTTCGTGACTGCAGGAATTCATATTCTTTGGGTCTTTCGGTAAAGTCACGTAGATAGGTTCAAAAAAATTAGTTTTTTTAAATTATTTTTTTGAACCTATCTACGTGACTTTACCGAAAGACCCAAAGAATCTAAATCACTTACTAGGATGCATCATTGAAACAGTCCTTGCCAGCAAGCAGTGCCCAACATTGCAAGGCCACCGCAGGCCACTAGCGGCCCCTGGTGGCCTTTAGTGCATGATGTGCGGCCCCCCACAATACACAAACAATGAGAACACCCCCTCCCCCCATCATCATCGTGCTGCTGTCAAACCCTCAATGGTTTAGAAATGTGTAGCGGCCCTCACACTGATGATGTGTTATTGGCGGAAGTGACCCCCCTCTGAAAATGAGTGAAGAACACTGCCCTAAACTATGAGGCCAAATTATGTCGAGTCCCAAAGGCTTAGCCATTCCCACTGAATCCGCAGAGAAAATCCAATCTCTTGAATAGGAGGCACAGCTGACGAGGCCGTTGTGGCCCAAAGGCGAGCCACGGAGTCTCTACCGTGTGGTCAGCAGAGCAGGTGCCCAGCAGCAAATCATCAAACGGAGAGAAACCAAAATCCGTGATGATTTCTGCAGGAAGAAAGTGAACACAGGATACCATGGTGAGCGTGGGACGTTCACGTTCAATATGGATGTACACAGTACCCAACATAGCCTCACCTCGCAACAATAAACAATGCAGCATTCACACATTTGGACGCACATCCGAGTTTACTGATCCGTCTTCGTAATTATTATTTATTTTGATATTTGGATAATTATCAATGAAGACCTTATTTCAGGACCACTGTGTTAACGTTTAGGCATGAGAATGCCATTATAGTTAGTTTTATTGTTACGCTTGTTAACCCAGGAAAACCTCACTTTTACTGGAGGGTCCTGCCAAGATTTTGCAGTTAAGGGGTGACGTTGCTGCTGCTGTGTGTAATCCCAATTGAGTGAGTTGCAAGTACTGTCATTTCTACTCTTTGGTTCTTTTGGTAAAGTCACATAGATAGGAAAATAAATAATAGATCATGACGTTTCAATCGCAACAACAAGCAATCGTCTTCAGGTGAGAGAAAGAAGCATTCCGTTTTTACGAGGCATTATATACATCGGAGAGGGGGGAGGGAGGGGAGGCCGTAACGGGCGAGAGGGTGGGGGTGGAATTCAAAGAGGGCTTAGGTGAGAGAGAAAAAAAGAAAAGGAAGCTTAGATATCAAACTTAACAAAATTTAGAATGTAATGCAACTCGGGGAGTCGGCTAACACAACAGTTAACACTTTACCTGGTTGATCACGTCCTTCCAAAGATTGCTAAATTTTGCATCCATCTTCTCGGTCTATTTTCCTATCTACGTGACTTTAACGAAAGAACCAAAGAGCATGAATTCCTGCGGTCACGAAAGCTTCTAATCAAGATTACTGTAATTTATTTTAGCATTGTGTTTGTTTAGCTATGGGAAGAAATCCAGAGAACCCAGAGAAAACCCATTGCAGAACAGGGGAGAGAACAAACTCCACAGAGAGAGAGGCACCAGAGTCGGGAATCAAACCCTGGCCCTTCTTGCCTTGAGGCAGAAGCGTTAGCATGGTGCCACCCTGCCACCATAGATCCTGACCCTTATTTCAAGCAACGCCACTAATTTCGTTATCGTATTAACAGAGCAGGGGACAGCAGTGGTGTGTTCACTGCGAAACCTGTCACATGGCTCTGTGGCTACGTGCGCCGACGTCCACTCACAAATAACATCGACAAACACGCATTATGTGTTTATTTTGCGTATCTGCAGCTCTAGCTGTATGACAGTCACGTGTAAAAGCATTCGCTAAATAAGTCAACTGTTGCCACCGCACGCCGAATCGTACCGGAGTGGCAGTGCAGAGTCGGCACGCCTCCATTCACGGGCCCCCATCGGCTGAGGGGCAGCACCCCGAGAGCTCCTGCGGCACACGGAGGACAGCAGGGGTCACGGCGCGGCAGACCGTGCGGTGAGTTCACCACGCGGTGAGTTCACCACGCTCCAGGCTCACCACGCTGCAGGTTCACCACGCTGCAGGCTCACCACGCTGCAGGTCTCACTTCTTTTTTTGCTTTGTTTTTCCTTAGCACTGCTCAATTTTGGAATGACATCTTTTTGTTCCCAAGCACTTATAATAAACTTGCTCGATTAAAAAAAGCCCACCGAGCAATTAGCTCTTTTTCAGAATGTACGTACGTTAAACTTCTTTCGCACCAAACATAGCCAACCGTGGTAAATCAGAAGCGACCTGGCCACAAATGATACCTTAACGAAGCGGCTTATCACGTGGAAATGTATAGAAACCAAATACTCTAAACGCACCTTGATTCTAAATGTGGAGGGAAAGAACTGTAGGGTCCGGAGAAAACTCAAATATACAACAGGTGTCACTGGGTGGGGATCGAACCCCTGACCTCCTGCATACCAGGTGAGAGGGAGATCAAATCTCGCAACCACGACTCGTGAGTGGCTCCCCCCTGGCTCACCGCTCGCTCCGGAGGAGAACGCGAGGAGGCAGACGCTGGCCTGGATGTGGCGCCCGGAGGACAGCCCAGCGTCCACGTGCAGCTCGCTCAGCCAGTCCTAAATCACAGCGTCATCATCACCATCATCAACACCATCATCATCTCCATGATCATTACCTCCATAATGATCATCATCATCACCACCATCATGATCATCACCATCATCACCACCATCATGATCATCCCCGATTAGCACGGTTGGCTACATACAGTGCAAAAAAAGTTCAACATATATACCGCACAAGGTACTCATTTGAGGCTGGGTCGACCTAGGGGAGGCTCCCCACTGAACACAACACGGGCCTGTAGCATTGCCACTGTGGACAATGGTGCAGCATCACTGCCTGCTCTCTGTCAGGGACGGAATCATATTTGGCTTGCGAAATGTTACCCGACTGCTCCCGCGAGATAACTTTTGACAAATGCTGCAACGTCACGGGAAAAGTGCATTGCACATCTCTCCAGTGTCACCACGTCTTCGGTGGCCGGTTCTTAAATAATATGCAGCCTTCGATTTTAGGCCAAAGACCACATCTGCCATCCTGCTTAGAGCCTTGTTTCACTCTTAATCTTGCTAACATTGTCCATAATTATACATGTGGATCAAATGATAAAAATATATCAAGGAAATAAAAAATATATGTAAAGAATATAAATTATAATGTATATATTTTTTTCTACGTATAAAATGTTTTAAATATTTGTTTATTCAATGTCGCAGCCCAGTGAGATTTGCCACGGTTGCATGGGTGATCTGGGTGGATACGGTGATGTGAGGCGAGTTATGCGTTATATTTTGGGTGTGGATGCTGTCATCCTGAAATCTGATTTAAATTTTGACAGTGGCACACACTGGTTCCAAGGTCTCTTCAGCGTCTTCTGAAACGCAGGCACCTCCACTGATAATTCCCTGCAGAAATTACACAGAGCCTGCTGTTATAGCGCACGACTCGCAACTGGAAAGTTACACGTTCAAATCACAGTCGATAAAATCAGTTGAAGTTCTTTCACACCGTACGTAGCCAATCATGGTAATCGGAGGTGCAGTGGTTCTCCCTTGAAGATGGTGGCCCACAACGTGTGAATGTGACATTTTCACCATCACCTTAGGACCATCAGCTTGGCATGCCGCGGTGGCGAGATGTTAACTACCTCGCCTAATATACCGGAAGTCGTGGGTTCGATCCTGAACCGGTCACCTGCTGAATATTTGGAGTGTGTATTTTTCCTCCTCGTGGTCACATGGATTGTTCTCTGGGTCCTCCGGTTTTTCCCTCCACATTTAGAATCAACGTGCATTTATAGTATTTGGCTGCTATAAATGTCCACATAAGCCACTTTGTCGAGCTATCATTTGTGGCCAGGTCGCTTCTGAAAAAGAGCTAAAGAAGCTCAGTGGGCCTTACCTGCTAAAATACAAAAAATAGTTTAGTTTCAGTCGAACCGAGTTTAGCACTGTCCCAGTGCTTGTCTGTGCAGACGGGAATCAAAACCACAATGCAATTCAGACCGGCTCAGCAGTGGGTGTGAAGGCCCCTTGGGCTGCACAGATTCATACGCACAAGCAGCCGTCATCATGCATGGGCAGGCAGAACAGCCAAAAATGTGTCGTTTTGGGTTTTTCTTTTTTTTTTGTCACAAGTTGGTTATATAAACACTGACAATATGCACCATACTCGAACACATGTGGGACAAATCCAATTGAACGATGAACTGACCCCAAGTAAAAATGTTGATTTTCACACTATCTTTGGACAGGAATGCGTATCGCTAAACGGCTATGCGACGCTCAGCGTATGATCAGTTTTCTCATATTGTCCGAATGAGTCTATGAAAGGCAGTTTCACGAGTGACCATATGTACTGGAGAACTCCCTCCCATGTGATATAGTTCTGGGGCCTGAGGCTCTGTGGGCAAGCTAATGTGCGGACAACAGAAGACCCTATTGGGGCCGTACAATTGCTGAGCATAGGCCCAAAGGTCAAAAACGCCAGATGGCCGCCACACAAACAGCACTAGCAAACGTCATTAGGTGATGCCGATTGCTTGTGTTGCGATCGAAACGTCGTGATCTATTATTTTTTCGACCTACGTGACTTTACCGAGAGAACCAAAGAGTATGGATTCTTGCAGACACGGAAGCTTCAAATCAAGATAGCACTGATAATAGTTTTTTTACCATTTTATCTGGCAACAAAACTGACACCTTTTTTTACAAGGAGTCATGTTTGCATTGACCACAATATCTGTAGTCGGAATGCAAAAAAAATATAACTCTGATAATGTATGCACTGTCCTTGAAGTTGATTGGTCCACACCCGAGACAGCTTTCTTTAGAGCCTAGTCTCACATGGTGTTGGACCAGATGACGCCAAAAGGCGTACATTATCAGAGTTATATTTTTTTTGCATTCCGACTGCAGGTATTGTGGTCTATGCAAACATAAAAAAGTGTCAGTTTTGTTGCCAGATAAAAGGGTAAAAAACCAATTATCATATTTTGTTACTGGCAAATGAGGTTCCAATGGTGTACAAGACTGCACTATCAGAGTTTGTCATAGCACAGGAGTGGCACAGGAGTGGCCGTGTCTCTGGAGTTGTGCCCAAGTCGCTGTCCACTGTGGCCAGGATCGTGCGTCAGCGCCGTCGTCACCTGTCTCTGGGCGATGGTCGCCGTCGTGTTCCTGAATCTTGACGCCTGGAATCGGTTCATGATGGAAAGCGCAGCGTTGTCGGGTCCTGCTCTTGAAAAGGATTCTCACTGAAAATACACCGTCGAATAGCATCGCTTATCAACCAGATCTACACAACACGAGAAGGAACCTGGCACTGTTTGGACACGTGTAGGAAGGACAACAACAGCAGCAGGAAGAGAGAGAGGAAGATCTCACAGGGATTTGGTTCCAGACAAACAAATGACGAAATGTGATGACGATGAACAACAACCGCCGCTAACCGCTAAACGTCACCAGGGCACGGCCACAGACCCAGGTACACGTGTTCACACCGTGTCAACAACCCACACGGTCTAGAACCCCGTATTCTTGTCCAGGGAAATAGAGTTTTCAAGTCCATACGTCGTACAGCCGTTTCAATACGGGGGGAGGGGGTCATTCTGCGTGTCTCCCTCTGTAGGATGAAGGTTAGACATGATGACAAGGGGCACGTGGTGACCAACAAGGTCTGAGTTGATCTGGAGTAAGGCCGGCACTGATACGGAGCTGACGAGCTGTGCGTTGGGGCTCCTTTAGTTATGAAACACAACGTAGTACCCGGTTTATCGACCCGGAAGTAAGTCGAAGACCAGAACGGCACAAGAGGGAGTTGGGTGGCCAGCACCACGCCCGGCCGCCTTTGTCCCCCTAGGAGCAATCACACCGCACCATCATTTGAGGCCGAGTCGACCTAGGGGACACCTCGGACCGGTTCAAATAATCGTCACTGGTGTTGGTGGCGATGAACGGGAATCGAACTCGGATCGCCGGATTCGCGGAGCAGCGCGCAAACCACGACACCACCGCTAGCCATAGACCACGCACACACTGTACACATACACTGCATACACTGTACACACATATACTGTACACACTGTACACACATATACTGTACACACATCTAATACTGTACACACACACCTACATACTGTATACAGTCTACGACTGCACACAGTCTCCATATACTGCACACACACCGTACACACTGCACACACACACCGTACACACTGCACACACACACCGTACACACACATCTAATACTGTACACACACACCTACATACTGTTTACGACTGCACACACAGTACACACACAGTCTATATACTGTACACACAGTCTACGACTGCACAACACAGTTTATACATACAGTACACACACAGTTTCTATATATACTGCACATACAGTACACACACAGTCTATACACACAGTATACACACAGTCTATACATACAGTACACACACAGTTTCTATATATACTGCACATACAGTACACACAGTCTATACATACAGTCTACACACACAGTCTATGCATACAGTACACACACACAGTCTCTATACATACTGCACATACAGTCCACACGCGTTACCGCTGTGGAGACAGCAACAGCAGCTGCAGGCAACGCCAACCCCTTGAGACGCTCAGCTCACCGCAATCCCTGCAGACACTTCACCCCACTTCACCCGACTTGACCTGACCCCACTTGACCTGACCTGACCCTGTCTGACCGTCGTGACCCGGCGCGCTGAGCGTCTGTGCTGGGCGCGCCGAGGGGCGGGGGAGGGAGGGGCGCGGGGGGGAGGGGCGGGGCAGGGGGGGAGGGGCGGGGCGCGGGGGGAGCGAGGGGCGGGGCGCGGGGGGGAGGGGCGGGGCAGGGGGGGAGGGGCGGGGCGCGGGGGGAGTGAGGGGCGGGGCGCGGGGGGAGGGGCGGGGCAGGGGGGAGAGGGGCGGGGCGCGGGGGGAGCGAGGGGAGGGGCGCGGGGGGGAGGGGCGGGGCGTGGGGGGAGCGAGGGGTGGGAGGGAGACGCTTCCGGTTCCGCGTGCAAGAAAAGCCGGGCACGTGACGCCGCAGAGCCCGGCAATTATTTATTAATCCCGGATCAATACAATGAGTTATTACAGATGTCCAGTAAGCGGTGGCTCAGACAAGCTATAAAACAACGATCGGAGTGCAAAGTATACGAAAAGAAAGCAAGTCACTGAAAATAAATACATAAAATAGATAAAGCATATAAGTTAAAACTGCACAAGTACATCCATTCCCAGGCTTGGGCAAGGCAGCAATACAACAGCAAGCTCACTCCCTCTATAACATTGCACATGGACACTTCCTACCCCCCCCCCACTACTATCTCCGACTTGGTCCCGCCCGGTCACGTGTGGCGCGGTCGCTGGGGTAGGGGGAAGGGGAGAGGGAGCGGGGGAAGGGGAGGGAAAGGGGGAGGAGGAAAAGGGGAGGGGGTGACGAAGGGGTGGGGGGAGGAGGAAGGGAAGGGAAGGGGTGGGAGGAGGAAAAGGGGGAGGAGTCACGGGAGGGGGGAGGAGTCACGGGAGGGGGGCGGAGTCACGTGAGGGGGGAGGAGTCACGTGAGGGGGGCGGAATCACGTGAGGGGGGCGGAGTCACGTGAGGGGGGCGGAGTCACGTGCGTGCGGCAACATGGCGGCGCTCAGGGTGGTGTCACGCTTGTCGCTGCTGCTTCGCGGCGCCGAGTTGGAGGCGGCGCCCCGCGGGCTCCTCGCGCCGCCGCCGCCGCTGCTGCCGCTGCCGCGCGGCTGCCGCCGCCTCGCGCTGTGGTGCACGGGACACGCGGCGGAGGCGCCCCTCGCCACGCGGGGCGGTGAGTGGCTGAGGGGCGCAGGGCCCCCGTAGAGGCCTCGCGCGGGCTGTGCGCGGCGTGAGGGGACGCGGCGGGGGCTGTCGTCGTCGTGGTGTTTGCGGAGGCGGCGGTGTCGCCGTAGAGACGGGATGGTGTGAGGGGAATGGTCTTGCGTGTGAGGCCCCATGTTGCCGGTGGCTTCTCTGCTGCCGGCGATGTTCAGAGCCCCGCGCGTGTCCACTCCGACTCGTGTTAGTGTGCTACCAATGCGCATTGGCGTGCGGCTGGGCTTCCCCCGTGGATACCCCCCCCTCACCTTGTCCATCACATTCGTCGTCTTTGTGTTTTTAGTGTAAATTGCCTCAATGCGGAATGTAGCGCAGTTGTGAGTCTTGGTTCACCTCTGGTTCACCGCCCTCCTCTGTCTGGGGTCATCCACGCGCGCGCCACCTGCTGGAGTGGTGGTGATGGTGGTGGCTGCACATTCCATTGGAGGGGTTCTTACTGGTAGGAACCACATGGTTCCACCAGCCCACAGGGGATTATTGTGTCCGTCTGTCGTGCATGCATCCAAAAATGGGAGGGGCTGGGTGGGGGGTGGGGAGGGCACCACGGGCTGGTCACCCCGTGGTGCCCTTATAAAACTCAACGTTTAACCTACTCACGCCGACTTGTGCCCGCCCTCACAGTCGGGCACATTTGCGGAATACACCACGCCGCCGTTGACCCTGGCCATTGACCGAGCAACCCAACGTTCCTACCAGCTCCCTCCGCAGGAATGTGTTGGGGTTAGATCGCGTTAAACTGGCGTTTCCACTACTGGCTCGGGATCGACAATAGGAGGTGGTCACCGCTCGATGTACATGAAAATAAAGACGTTGACCCGTGACTTTGCCGATTCATATGTTGTGGTATATCAACTTTTCAAAGCTTTATATGCCAAGTTACACCCGTTCAAAATTCCTTACCCAAATATGCAAACTATGACGGTGGTTCCAGATTATTCGATGACGCCCATATCTTAATTTGTGTAGTGATGAACCCAATCCACCCTTGTTGATTACCATCAATAATTATTTTACTGGTCTCTATTTAATTCTCAAACCTTCCTCTGTGATGCACATCCCGATCTAAACGTGCCGCCGTTCCAGGCTACCACGTTCTCACTCTCTACAGACACCTACATCGGACCAATCCCCCACCACTGGTATATAATCGGTCAAAGGAGGTTGCAATGGGTAGAACGTGTACAGAATGGAGGAGGGCTGGATACTTAAAATGAAAACTGGAGTGGGCACCCAGAGGAAAGGGAAAGTCCTAAAGAGAGTAGACTTGGAATGACATGTAGACCCAACAACTCCGGCAAATCACGAAAAGTTATCGCGTTGTGTGGCATCAAAGGCTTTGGCGGTGATGACACGTTGACCTTGACCAATCGGCTCTCGCCGTAGGAGCATCCATCACAGACCGTGCACCCTCCGAGTGGCGTGCGCTCACGTTCACCGCGGTCTGTCCCTCCCCCCAACCGCAGTGCATGGGCACTCGAGCCTGCTGCCGGGCAGGGGCTTCCACACGTCGGCCACAGCGTTGGCAGCGAAGAAGGACTACTACCAGATCCTCGGTGTGGCAAAGGATGTGGCACAGAAGGACATCAAGAAGGCTTACTATCAGGTGCGGCATTGCGTACATTTCCCAGAATGCAGCTTGACGTCATACCAGCACTAAACATTTCCAGGGACGGGCTTTTAGTTTAGCATTCATTGTTTTATCTTATAAAAAACCACGACTTCTTTCTCTGCCAAACCCTCTGCCTGCAAGGTAGAAGCCACGCGACTGGTGTGTGCATGTTCTACCTGGAGTTTAAAGGTCCATTGATAAGTAGATTGCACCACTGCGGCTAAACGCTGTGTGATCCATGCTTTAAAAACACATCCGAAATATGATCACGTGACTTGACCTTGCTAATGTTTACGGAATGGCTCATTCTCGATTCTTCTGTGGTGAAATGAGGTTCAAAAGTAAACTGCTCTTCCAAAGATTTTTAGGACCAAAGCAATTGGCTGTGTACCCTTTTGTTATGTTTATCATCACCAAAAATTGTACGAAAGGAGTAAATATGTAACATGTCATTTTATTATCACCAATTAAAGCAATAATTAAACTACTATAAAAATAACTCATTAAATTTGTGGATTTACTTATTAAATGTCTGTGAAGAAGTGCTCTTTGACCTGTGCTGACTTTTTTGAATACCAACAGCAGATGTTAAATATCCTCCAATGACCTCTCGACAATTTAGCCCCATTTTGCTTGACAAGCTTGTCTGCTACTGCTGCAGTGACGGTCGAAACCAGTCCAGTGTGTTTGCCCACTTTTATCATTCATCACGAGGTGGGGGGGGGGGGGGGGTAGAGTTTCTCGGGCAGACTTACAGATCCTCAATCTGTAAGTCCCTGGTCTAGAATGGATTACCATCCATATTAGCATGAATTAGTTCGCTTGAATAAAATGTTTATCGGAGCCCTTTAATCTTTGATGCACGCCTGAAGAGTGTTTGCTTCATGTGGTTTGACAGCTCGCAAAGAAGTACCACCCAGATACGAATAAGGAAGATCCCAAGGCCAAGGAGAAGTTTTCGGAACTGGCCGAGGCCTACGAGGTAACAGTCCTCACCCACGTGCTACATGAACGAGGTGGAATCTCCATCTGTTATTGCTGCACTTGGTGGAGTTTCCATGCAAAATATATTGATGATAAATAATCATACCCCTTGGCTGCCTCGGGTCTGAGTGATGGCTTTGCGAGTGCAGGTGAGAGGGGATGACATTGTGGCCGTGATGTCACTAGAGGTCGCTGCGGCGATTCACCTGAAAGTCGCTCGCAAGTCTCTTCAGTCCGTTAACGAAGCGTTACAGTTATCGGGCGTTCTCTGACGTGCTGCCTCGTGTGTCTAACAACGCGGCTGTGAACGCTCCAGATATGCGCATGCCATTATTGACTGCGAAAAACGTGTCGCGTGCATTTACGCGGTCAGATTAGTCGCAGCGTCTTCACAGGCAACATGAACAATGTGATGGTGCATATCTCCGTTTACTACATTGGCTGAACGATGGATATTCTCCATTCCGATGGCAAAAGATAGTTTTTCTTGGATAACCACCGTTCACTTGCAGC